TGTATATATGTCCATGCCACTCTCTCACTTCGTCCCAGCTTACTCTTCCCCCTCCCTATAGCCTTTTAACCTTTCTGAGTTTCATTCACTTCCCTCTTCTCTCTCAAGGCCTTGAACTCTGAAAAACCAGAGTACTTTTCTCTGGCTGTAAGGCAGTCATTTTGATTCCTCAAAGCCCCTTTTAACTCTGACTTTCCCGTTTTATTCTAATTAGGGTTCTCTGCTCTTTATAAAATTTATATTTTGTTTTCCTCAGCCAAATATGAATGTACCAGATAATTTTTAAATTGATTTAAACATTTTTTTCCTCCCCCCATCTAAGCGGCAGTTAATTTTAAGACCAGCCTTCAAGCAGTGTAGAAAGCATTTTGAAATTAGTGGAATCCCTCCTTTTTCTACTTTGGCAATTTTATTTCATTATTATATGAAGATTATTAGAAATGTAAAACTATAGGATACTCTTGAGAAATTAATATTGCTTTAAAAACAATTGCCACACCTCATCGATTTAAGTGTGTATGAGAATGTGAAGGAATGTTGGATATTTGTTAAGTGAGGGGTTTTTTCTTTCCCTCTTTATACCTTTATACCTCTTATTTTCTTTCCCTCTTTATACCTTCACTTAACAATATGCCTTCTTTCCTATAACTTTGTACACCTCCTTTTAATTTTTTTAAAATGAAAATTTATCTCATTAAAAGATTTTTCACATTTGCAAATTGGATCTTGGAGGCAGGCCCTGATCCCAGCTTCAACTCTTGTCCATACTGTGATTGGACAAGGGCAGGGAAGAGCTGCTGGGGAGAGCGGAGCTCTCTGAAGGATGGCTGGGTGCTGGTCAGGGGCTCCACTAACCTGAACAAGTTTTCCGAGAGGAAGCTTTCTTGCCAGCCTCGTTGGAACCTTGATTCAGTCCCCACATAACATAAGGTAGTCAAAGGTAGGATTTGGTTCTGTGTTAAGTGGAGGGCCACTCTGTCAAACTCCAGCCTTTGGAAACTTTGGCACTGGCTTAAGCCACTTAGAGACTGAAAACATACCACAGACCTTGGAATCCAGAGACAAGTCCAGAAAGAGACTTTTTCACTGTGCCCCATATATCCATTGGTTCCACTTGGCCACTAGTACAGACATGTACTCCTTTTTATGATGTCAAAAGAAGGAAAGTTTTTATTCATGATTCTAAAGAAAAGCTTCTGTGTGTACATATAATCAGTTTGTATATGTGTCCGCAGACTTGGGGCTCCTTGTCCCCTCCCATGTGCAGTTTTCCTTCTCTCTATCAAGCAGCCTCTGAGGACATGGGTGTGCAAATCAATCCCAGCTGCCTATAATTCTAAATCTTGAACAAGTTCTATCTCTTATTACTAGAGAAAATAGCACTAAATAATTTTTAGGGGTGTGTGTGTGTGTGTGTGTGTGTGTGTGTGTCCTTCTATTTCCTTTTCTCTGATTATAAAAGTGGTCTCTACTCATTTTTAAAGTTTATAAAATGTAAAGAATAATAAAATCCCTTGTAATCTTCCTCTCTTTAACAGCCTCAGTTAATATTATGAAATAAATGCTTACTGTCGTGTTTTCTATTCATATTGTATTTTACATAGTTGACGTCAGACTAAATACAAACATTAATTTAAAAAAAATTCACACTTTCTTACACTATTAACATTTTTCATATATGGAAAAAATTGGCTGTAGAAGAACAGTCATGTTTTAAAGGAAATAATTGAATCACAAAATTATGGGAGACCTATTTCATGCATTTATTGATTTCTAAAATAATACCAGTGAAAATTACTGTGCTGTGGCTAATACACTAGTAATTAGTCATATCAGCTTCCTTTAAGTGAAGCACTTAAATATTTGCCTATAAATTTTCAATACCAACTCACTAACTCATAACTGAATAGTAGCTGAATTTCTTCTAATGTTTTGTCCTGGGTATAGAATAATGTCTCTTGACCTTTGTTTGGTCACCAACCCTCTGAGAAGTCAATAAAAGATATGAACCTTCTTCACAGAGAAACACATATTCCCACAAAAAACTAATTGTAATGATAATCAATTATGATATGCCAGGTACTCTGCCAACTGCTTTACATAGTTGTTTCACTTAATCCTCATAGCAGCACTATAAGGAATATACTGTTACCCTTATTTTTGAGATAAAGACATTGAAGCTTTAAGGAGAGTAAGTAGTTTGCACATGGCCTTAGAGCTAGTAACTGGAGCTCAAACTGATTTTTATGACCCAAAGCCCATCTCCTCAATCATTGGGCATCTAATTTTAGGGAGCTTATAAATTCCTAAAGCCTACTTATTGATACTCAGGTTAAAGGCACCCTACTATTGCAATCCAAAGATTTTCCTTGGCAGTAAAGAATATGTGTAATTAGTTAATCTTGTTATTTCTGTAAATTAATATATAAGTATTTGTTGGACATCTACTGTTTTTAATACTTGCTACGTTCTGTGATATGGTCCTTATCCCTAAGGACTTTACTGCCTACATGGGAAGACAAGAATTACATATATAAAACAATGAGAAAAAAATGTAAATATGAAGTTGAATATATAGTAATTAAACATTTCCATAAGCTATACACAAAAATTAATCTCTTTACTTTGTCACACATGATGTAATTTTCATTCCCTGATTTATAAAAGGAAAATCAAATCTAAAAGGCCACCATGTCCTCTGGGAACCTGGAAGATTCAGTGTGTCATAAAATGAGGTCTATAAAGTACAGCTCTGACTAAATATGTATCACATCCAGATTCCTGAGTGGTTTCATCAGCATCATGTCAACCCCAGGGGGCATGCCCAATAAGGAGATTCAAGCATGTGTAGCCACCTCTCAAGCATTCAAACCATGTATCATAGGGCAATCCTGTTGAACTGAACATGTGTAGGGCAGCAGAACACCGTGATAGTTGCTGCATCTTGACTCAAGTAGGGTTCCTACTGACAGAGAGGACTTCAGATGATGCAGCATAGCTGTTATGTCATACGGGAGCAACAGTGATAATCTACCAACCTTGGATGAAACTACCAGGCATGGGAAGCTTATTTAAGCTGACCACCTGACAATCAAGACAAAAAGAGTGGCTGTGGCTATAATTCAAAGAACTGCTTTCTACAGGAGCATAGTATGGGAAAGTTGTACTTGTAATTGAGCAGTGGCCATATACAAGGTTATCACAGATAATGGCTATTGTAAGATATGAAGGATGGATTCTGTCAAGCTTTTATAACATGGCTCTCATCATGTATTTGTATAGTCTTAGAACTTTACTTTTTTAAAACTTTAATCATTTGGGCTATACATATAGAATTCATTTATAAATGGCATATAAATTTTCTTTCCAAAGTAAATAGAAACTTAATGTGCTAATCATTCTATATCGTTTATCTCCTTCCATTTGAGTCATTTTTATTTAAAATCTCTAGAAGAAGAATATTTTGTGTTACAGTTGTACAACACTTTGCGTTCTATACAATTCGTTTAATAACTTGTTTTAAATTTCATTTCACATAATGTTTTTGTGTTCCCTGCAACTTACCTTGATAACATTTTTTAAAGTAGGTCAAGGATTTTATGAAAACCTAGTAGACATTTCCTAGATGGAAAATATTTTTAAAGAACAGAAATTCCTGTCATTGTTCATAAATCATCATTTGAATCTATGCAGTTACTAGTTGTTTGAAGTAATTTTCCAGACATATATGCAAATATCTTGATGGATTTTATTTAATTTCAAAAGACTAATATGATACCAACTTTGTATAATTTCTTAAATTCATTCCTGAAGAAAAATATAATTGAAAGGAAAACATTCCTTTTCATATTTGCTTTGAGCAGATACTTGTTATTTTTGAGGTAAATAGTAGATTGATGTTAAATGTTTATCATACTTTGGCTTCACAGAGAGAATTCAAGGCATAGTTAGTAACTGTCCAACTTCTGAATTTGCTCTGTATGTACGTGTGTGTGTGTGTCTTGTGTGTATGTAGGGGCTTAAATAAGACCTTTTGATTGCATAATAAGCAGGGCTTAGGGACAATAAAATCTGACATTCTTAACTGTTACTAGTATTTGTCCCTATAGCCCTGTGCAGTTATCTTCGTATTAACAATGTAGAAGCCAGAGGCATAAACTGAGCATGTACCCAAGGCGCTACTGTAAATTGCAAATAGCATTCATGTGGTCTCTTTTGACCTAAGACTAAATTGGGATAGAAGGAGGAGAAAAAAGAATTTTTGAGAGTGGAATAGAAGTAGAAGTCAAGAACAAAGAATACACTAGAAGGATGGACATGTACAAATGTTTCCTAAGTTTTTGCTGTGAGATTTATTTAGATGGGTCTTTTCATATCTGCAGTACTCTTTTACTGAAGAGCCAAGCACTAGATTGGGGCAGCCTCTGCTGCTGGTGTGTGTGTGTGTGAGTGTGTGTCTGTGTGTGTGTTGGCGATAATGCACTCATGAGATAATACAAATAATCAGTGAGGGAATAATTAATGATGTGGCAGGGAATATTTTTTGATAAATGCTTGGGGAATGAGGTGACAGGCGTGAAATTAGAAAATTCCTTCAGCGATCTAAAATATAAATAGCTTTCGGAACTGAAAAGAGTTTCACAGCTGAAGATTTTATTGTGTTGAGAGGAAAAACTTTTTTCTCTCCCCCACTCCCTCCTCCTTTGCAAGTTGTTTGTCCATTCACAAAACAAATACTCTGAAGCCCAGCGCAGCTCATGGGAATAAATTTCAGGTCGAATTAGTACAGTTTCCTTGCTGTCAGGATGCTGGAATTAATGGTGTTTTGATGACACGAATTTTGAAGGGCAAACAAAGAAGCTGAAGGGAGAGAGACATGACTCCTTAGAAGCTTGGTCCTCCTCTCCCCCAGCCTCTCTTGTCTTCCCTGTCATCCGTCTGCCAATCTCCCTGTCCATGGTTAGTTAAAGGCGCTTTTTATCCTCTTTTCTTTCCCACAGAGTTTGCCAGATCCGGCCCGGTGCCTGGGTTCCAGGAGGACACGCTGCAGTTGGCCTTCATCGACTTGAGACAAGTAAGTCTTTGTGTTTTTGTTTTTTGTTTTTCTTTTAAGATGTGTGACTGAAGACCATCAGGTCTTAAGGAAAAGGGGAGGGGAGGGGGATTGGCGTTGGCGATTCACACTGGAGACCTAAGGGTTTTTCCCTGTGTTTGAGGCCACCTCTTTTATTTAGCTATCTGGGATCCTTAGCTATGGTGGAGTTAAAGGTTTTGTGGGTGGAAGGGAAGGCAGGAGGTGGGAGGAGGGACCCAGAATGTAGAGGGACTCAAGTGACCCTCAAGTGATGTGACCCATTGTGCTATAGTTGGCTTCTGCAGACACAGCAAAAAGATAGCTCAGCAAACCAATGCTAAGCAGGTGCACTGATGCAGAGACTGCCTGCCCAGAGGACTTTTGTTTGCAGATAATGAGGGCAGTAGCATTTAAGAAAGATGAAATATTTTGCATTCTGGATTGTTGGTTTGGTTTGTTGACTTTTTTCTGTTGCCTTAAGTCTTCCCATCCCCTCCTTTGTAGAATGCGGTCAGCCATGAGTGACTAAGTGGTCATTTTAGATACTTAGCAAAGGCCCTGACCAGTCATGCTAACCTGACAGGCGACCCTACTGAAGTAATGTGATGAAAGCTGGTACTTAGGTATACCTGAGCTTTGCAAGCCCATTAGATAGAAAGAGTCGTGCGATAGAGCTGTTGCTTGCAGATTGAAAAGGGTGGGTTGGTAGGCCTTGGTGGATTGGGTATAGAGGAGCAGTATGGGCGGGGGCCGAAAAAGGGAGAGAGTTAACTGGGCTCTGTCATCTCTTCACTCTGAAGATGGATGGGGTTGGATAGAAAGTGTGAATGAAGTAAGAATCAATGACTGATGCTTCTCTCCTATTAAAACAATCTTTTTTTTTTTTGTCTGTTTTTTAAAAGGGGGCTGGCTTTGTTTCTCCTGCCATAATGATGCAGTGCCTCTTGTTTTCAGAGCTGACAAAGTTTGCATTCTGAGAACTTTTAGATGCCCAGGGTATTTCTTAAAGCTGTAGGACCCCTTGTATTGGTAGTCTCCTTACTACTGTGACTCGATTCATGCTAGAACAGCTTTTAACCCATAATGGATGGCCTGAGCTACCCCTGAATCCTTGTGGATGGGTGGTGTAATCTGTCATCTGATGACAATTCTGGAAAGCCCTGTTAAGCAGAAAACAGAAAATTGTGTCTCTATAGACCCGCCAAAGTTTGAGGATTCAGGCCGCGTCCCAGAAACGTGTGTCAACTTAATATTTAGGAGTTGAGGTGGGGGTTCTCTTACACATAAAGGCTTTCCCAGCATGGTCCCAAATGCAGCTGAGTATCTCTTTCCACACTTAACACCTTCCACCTGTGGATTCAGCCACTCAACCGAGATGTTCAGGTTTTAACCCCTTGGCTGATGTAAACCTGAAAGATTGGGATTTTGCTTTATGGTTTTGTGGAGCGGTATCTGCTTGACTTTCCCAGCACTGTTTCTTCTCAGAGACTTCTGAGCCAATTGGCGTTTCTTGGAAAGCAGAAATTGAATTTCATTGGAAAAACACATCCAAGGAAAAATTTTTCCCTTCTCACTCTTCATGGAAAGGAAGTGTGGTCATTCTCTCGAGTTTGTGGTTTTGGTCCCTATGGAAAGCAACTAGTGTTCACAGAAAATGTTAACTAAGGGAGTAAGTTAGAAAACACAGCCAAAATAAGGTGGATCTGAGCTGGGGATGAATGCTCAAGTACTTGTGAGCTCTCAGTGAGCACTGTTGCTTATGCTTAAGTTCCTATTTTCTGTTACAGTTTTGTTCTGAGGGTTCCGATTACGAAGTTTTAGTAGTAGAAACCAAAACTCCAAAATTTCACTGAGTCATGAAAGAATATGCCTCTTGCTATTCAGTCTATCACTTAATTTCTATTTATGTCTGTCTCTATTAAAGCAGCTTACATTTTTCTTAGATCATTTGAAAAACTTGCCTAGCTCATTATTAGCAGGCCTCAGGTAGGTTGAATCAGTGTGACAAAAATTACCTTTCCACATCCCGTGCTGAAAATATTTATCTCTTTGCAGTTCATCTTAGTCGTTCTCATAACTTAAAGTGACCATCATTTTTAAAGTGAGCAGCTAATGAACTATAAGAGATGTGCCGATTATAATAGAAAGTCTGAAAGTGTGGTTTCAAAGGAGATAGCTTGACCTCAAATGAGACATGACTAGGTGTCCTTGAGTATGTGTCCTTTTGCCTGTACTCTTTGCAATCCTAAAATAGAGTTATGGAATTTGGGGGCTGGGTGCTAATCTTAAAAATCATGTAATATAACCTTTGGCTTGATACTTGGAATCCCTGTACAGCACCCTAGACTGTGCTTGAATATTCTCCTTGAAGAGAACTTGCTTCCCCAAAGCAGCAGGGTCCACCTCAAGACAATCTGATTATAAGAAACGTATTTCTTAAAAAAAAAAAAAAGAAAGAAAGAAACGTATTTCTTAAGTTGGCTAAAATATGTCTCACTTAACTTTGACCCTTTCACTCTTTGTATTTTTATTAATGCACTCCAATTTGGGGGACAGGCTTTCTATCCTGATTTATTGAGCTTCCATCTGCTAGTAATTGAGTCTTTTTCACGTGTAGCATTGCTACTCATTCCATATCTAGTCTTTATGTGGTTGATTTTATACACCACAATTGAAGACTTTACTCTCTTTGGTCTGCGTTTTCCTTTTTGACATTCTATTAACAAACCAGATTTTAATCATTCTTATTTATTTAGCCTGTCTAAACCTTTTAAGGTCCTGACTCAGTTATCCACCTTACTACCTGATTTAACCATTATGCCCTTCATAAGTCAAAGATAACAATATTAATCAGGAATGGCCGAAGTTAAAGGAAGAAGTTAAAGTTAAGGCAAGTTATAGGATACATACGCGCACCCATGCAAAAAGGGGATTTGTCCCCAGTTCCGTGCAGCAAGGATATTCTTTTACTGTCATTGAGTGTATTTTCTTCATTGGTTTATGAATATATTCATTCTGATCATGCTTTCATGTTCTTTTGCTTTACAGTGTTTCAGGCTCTATCAATTGAATGATAATTTTTAAAATATTCAAAACATGGAATATTTGATGAACTCATCTCTGTATAGACTATAATAGCAGAGTGTCATTTAAAAGCCATAGAATTTTATTAGGAAGCAAATTAGATGTGGATAGCAAAACTATTCATCCTTTCTGAGCCGTCCTGTCTATTCTAATTTTTCTACTTCTTAAGGAAAAAAGTGAAATGACATTTTGAATACACAGGCTTTCATGATATTTTACACTTTTATAGCACGTCAAAGTTAAAGTATATTTACCTACATAGCTCATTTGTCAGGTTTCTGGGTTTAGAAAACCAGCTGTTAATGTGAATTAGTGCAAATCAAAATCTTCTTCTTTGCCACTTTATAATTTCTATATTCCCAAGCTCATAAAAGTACGATTGCAGTACGACTTCACATTCATGTATCAAATCTACGTGCATATTTCTATGAAAATCCAAATTTGGGTTAATGCTAAATCTTGAGAAGGACAACTTAAAGGCTCATTTATTATCTATCTTGAAGTAGCATTTATATTCCAAGTACTGATAATTGCTGGCCCTTAATGGTTCATAATTGAGAATAACAACACAAGGCCAATAGTAGATCCTCAGTAGTTATTTGATTCTTAAGCAGTACTATGGTTTGTATTTTCTTCTGTTGTTAAACATTAAGTAAATTATGCTGATGAACACCGGAATTTGAACTTCAGATGATTTTCATTTCAGTTTATCAAACTCTGAGTGCCTACTGTGAACAAAGCACAACTTAGGTGTTGTGGGAATACACAAATGAATATAATACAGTCTCTGCCCTCCAGTAACAAAGAGGTGAACAGCAAATACTTGATTCTAATATAAGGCACAGTATGATTAAGTATTTCATTGGAATGCTAAAACAACTGTGTATGTTTCAATTATTGCAGTAGCTTTTGCTGCATAACAAATCACCCAAAAACATTGGCTTAAAACAAGAACCATTTATTTAGCTCAAGTTTCTACAGATTGGCTAGGTTCAGCTGAGCTCACGCATACTTTGAGATCAGCTGCCGGATGGGCTCTGGCTTGCCCGAGGTCGGGTGCCTTAGCTCAGTCGACTCTTCTCTGCTCCCTGTGGTCTCGCACTAGCCAGCAGCCCAGTCCAGGCTTATTCACGTGGCCTCCTGGCAGGGTTCCAGGAGAGCAAGAGGAAGTGTGAAAACCTCTTGAGGCCCATGCTTGAAATATCACTTCTTCCACATTCTGTTGGCTAGAGCTGGTCACAAGGCCAGCCCAAATTCAAGGAATGGGAAAAGAGACTCCAACTTACACTCTAGTTGGAATATAGGACTTTTATATAATCATGTGACATAAACAATGCAAATCAGGAGCAAGATTGAATCTCTAAGTACAAAAAATGGCCATGAAGTACAGAGGTCTTTGTAGGCCTGAGTAGTTATAAAATATTTCATGGAAAATGTGGAGAGTTAAACTGAGAAGAAGTTAGGTGTTGATGAGGGGTAAAGGTATTTCAGACATGGAGAAGAGCTGGATTTAAGTTTTGTTTGTAAAAATGTGTGTGCGTGTTTGTATGCATGTGTCTGTGTGTGTCTGTGTGTGTGTGTGCACGTGTGTGTGTATTGATTTAACCAGGATCTAGACTGTTCTGCCACCTTTAAGTATTAAACTAATCTCTTTAAATCCCCTTTTCTTAATTTCTCTTCTTTGTTCTTTGCTTTTACTTTCCAGCTTCTTCATGGACCTCTCTTTTATGTTCTGTATCTCCTCATCAAATGCTGCTTATTACAGGCTACCCTGAAACACTTCACATTTCTGTTTTTCCATTCATTGTGAGAGAATCTTAACTTCCCCAGATAATTGTTACATTATTTATTAAATTTTAGCTGTTCACCTTCCATGTCTGACCAACAGGAAGAGGTTTGAATATGTTCTTTAGAAA